TGCCAACAACACAGGAGCCCCACCCGGGTCTCTATCAACTGTGGTTATTACTTGCAGGCATTCACCCACGAAAGCTTATGCTGCAATACTTCTGTTCTTCTTAAAGGTGCCACAGGACCCTCTGTTGCTTTTTACAGATTCAGACTAACACAGCTACCCCTCTGATACTTGCAGGGTGACCCCCAACACACTCCCCACCCTGGATTTTCCCCAAACCTGCTGCCCTGAAGTGCCCAGCCCTCTCATGGAACACGCAGAGAATTCATAAGGTTTGCTGCACTGTAGCACAGCGCAGACTCACCCCTGTGGCGTCTCCTGCTGGTTGTCCTCGGGAATTAGCTCTTCAACCCAGGAGCGCCCTCTGCAGGCCAGTGATCCGCTTGCCATTGGCCCCCGCCGCCATGTCCCTCCCAGGACCCCAGTGCCCTTATCTCAGGGTTCTGCCTCCTGCAGTACCCCACCATCTTACTGGGTTTCCCCACCCCAGGGGAACCCCCACCCCCTATCCCCACGTTGCCTCAGTCATGGCTACTGCCAGTCTCCATTTAGCCCCCGCACCCTGGGGCAGACTGCAGTCTATCAGCCGATCATCACAGGCAACACGGGGTTTGGACTGGCTGCCTTTACCCACCCTCCGGCTGCCCCTCTGCAAGCGCAATGCCTAGGTGGGCCTAGAACTAGGCCCCGCAGCCTGGGGAGTTGCTGGCCTAGGGCTTCCCAGCTCCTAAGGCCTTTCCCCAACCCAGCCTGCCTCTAGGTCCCCTGGGTGAGTTCCCCAGCAGCCAGGCCTACCTCCCTCTCAAGTCAGAGAGAGACTACTGCTTCTTCTGGCTTCCCTGGCCTTCTTATAAGACCCAGTTGCTTAGTTTGGGGCTTGGCCCCAGCTGTAGCTACTTCCCCCAATCAGCCAGGGTTTTACTCCTTGGCCCCGCCCCAGCCCTCTGCAGGGCTTTTCCAACCCCTTCCGGGCTAGAGCGGCTGTTCACCCCGCTACATGCACCTTTAAAGAGACCAAAGTTACACCTGGGAAACTCATGCTTCCGTTACCATGTACATTTTGTGGTGCTGTTTGGTCATAGTTGGGAGGCTAGGGAGATAGCATCCCTATGCATGAGTGGCATACAGTGATCTGAGAAGTGTCATGCATGCTGGGCTTAATCTGTGATTTCCAGAGACCTTCCGGGAAATACTCAGCCTGGAAACAGGATTAGATGATATAGCCCATCTCAGTATAACTCTCATTTAAACACTGACACCTCTTTTGCAGTGCATCCCAAACATTGTTTAATGTTCGTAAAGTGAAGACTGTGTTCCTTACAAAGGCAGTGTGTCCTAGGGGATAGCACACTGCACTGGGACTCAGACATAAGAACATAAGAATGGCCATACTGGGTCAGACCAAAGGTCCATCCAACCCAGTATCCTGTCTACCGACAGTGACCAATGCCAGGTGTCCCAGAGAGAGTGAACCTAACAGGTAATGATCAAGTGATCTCTCTCCTGCCATCCATCTCCACCCTCTGACAAACAAAGGCTAGGGATACCATTCCTTACCCAGCCTGGCTAATAGCCATTAATGGATTTAACCTCCATGAATTTATCTAGTTCTCTTTTAAACCCTGTTATAGTCCTAGCCTTCAGAACCTCCTCAGGCAAGGAGTTCCACAGGTTGACTGTGTCTGTGTGAAGAAAAACTTCCTTTTATTTGGTTTAAACCTGCTGCCCATTAAGTTCTTTAGTGGCCCCTAGTTCTTATATTATGGGAACAAGTAAATAACTTTTCCTTATTCACTTTCTCCATACCACTCATGATTTTATATACCTCTATGAAATCCCCCCTTAGTCTTCTCTTTTCCAAGCTGAAAAGTCCTAGCCTCTTCAATCTCTCCTCATATGGGACCCATTCCAAACCCATAATCATTTTAGTTGCCCTTCTCTGAACCTTTTCTAATGCCAATATATCTTTTTTGAGATGAGAAGACCACATCTGTACACAGCATTCAAGATGTGGGCGTACCATGGATTTATATAAGGGCAATAAGATATTCTCCATCTTATTCTCTATCCCTTTTTGTATGATTCCGAACATCCTGTTTCCTTTTTTGACTGCCGCTGCACACTGCGTGGATGTCTTCAGAGAACTATCCACAATGACTCCAAGATCTCTTTTCTGATTAGTTGTAGCTAAATTAGCCCCCATCATATTGTATGTATAGTTGGGGTTATTTTTTCCAATGTGCATTACTTTACATTTATCCACATTAAATTTCATTTGCCATTTTGTTGCCCAATCACTTAGTTTTGTGAGATCTTTTTGAAGTTCTTCACAGTCTGCTTTGGTCTTAATTATCTTGAGCAGTTTAGTATCATCTGCAAACTTTGCCACCTCACTGTTTACCCCTTTCTCCAGATCATTTATGAATAAGTTGAATAGGATTGGTCCTAGGACTGATCCTTGGGGAACACCACTGGTAACCCCACTCCATTCTGAACATTTACCATTTATTCCTACCCTTTGTTCCCTGTCTTTTAACCAGTTCTCAGTCCATGAAAGGATCTTCTCTCTTATCCCATGACAACTTAATTTATGTAAGAGCATTTAGTGAGGGACCTTGTCAAAGGCTTTCTGGAAATCTAAGTACACTATGTCCACTGGATCCCCCTTGTCCACATGTTTGTTGACCCCTTCAAAGAACTCTAATAGATTAGTAAGACATGATTTCCCTTTATAGAAACCATGTTGACTTTTGCCAAACAATTTATATTATTCTATGTGTATGACAATTTTATTCTTTACTATTGTTTCAACTAATTTGCCCAGTACTGACGTTAGACTTACCGATCTGTAATTGCCGGGATCACCTCTAGAGCCCTTTTTAAATATCGGCGTTACATTAGCTATCTTCCAGTCACTGGGTACAGAAGCCGATTTAAAGGACAGGTTACAAACCATAGTTAATAGTTCCGCAATTTCACATTTGAGTTCTTTCAGAACTCTTGGATGAATGCCATCTGGTCCCAGTGACTTGATACTGCTAAGTTTATCAATTAATTCCAAAACCTCCTCTAGTGACACTTCAATCTGTGACAATTCCTCAGATTTGTCACCTACAAAGGATGGCTCAGGTTTGGGAATCTCCCTAACATCCTCAGCCGTCAAGACTGAAGCAAAGAATTCATTTAGTTTCTCCGCAATGACTTTATCATCCTTAAGTGCTCCTTTTGTATCTTGATCGTCCAGGGGCCCCACTGGTTGTTTAGCAGGCTTCTGCTTCTGATGTACTTAAAAAACATTTTGTTATTACCTTTTGAGTTTTTGGCTAGCTGTTCTTCAAACTCCTTTTTGGCTTTTCTTATTACATTTTTACACTTAATGTGGCAGTGTTTATGCTCCTTTCTATTTACCTCACTAGGATTTGACTTCCACTTTTTAAAAGATGCCTTTTTATCTCTCACTGCTTCTTTTACATGGGTAAAAGTAAAAGAGACCTGGGTTCTCTGCTCAGCTTTGTCCCTGGTGTACTGAGTGACCTTGGCAAGTCACCTTTCGGTCACATAGCACTATGTTAAAACCTACTAGGGAACTTTTAGTTCATACCAGCAGGGTCTACCCGGACCTGTTAGCATACAACCCTGTTTGTCAGCCTGGGATAGAATTGGGGTTGACCTTTGATACTCTTATATCCTTAGTAATATGTGTGAACAAAGAACAAAGACACTGTGTGTGTTGCTTCTGCCTGGCCAGATGGGTTTGTGAGTACAATGGGAAGAGATAAGGGATAGAGCAGTTAAAGTGTTACAGGGCATGGTGGGAGTGTAACATATATGAGCACACTTTAAGATTGCCTCAACCCCATCTCAAGGCATGGTCAAGCAACCAGGCAGGAGGAGCAAAGAGGGATTGGGGGGAAGGTATAAAACACTAAAAGACCAAAGAAACACCTGTCTCTGACGGTAGCACAACCTCAATCCTCACCCCTCCCATGGGGTACAAAAGGCATGGGACTGTGGGCATGCTCTGCAGGTATATTTGGGCCTGCTAAGAAGGGGGAATCGGGACACAGGCAAGGCTCTGCAGCATCAGAGCTGGGAACGGGGGAAACAGGCAAGGCTCTGCGGTGTCAGAACTGGGAAAGGAACACTGGGAAACAGACTCTGTCGGCGTGTAAAGCTATGGACATGCTGGCTTGGAACTAACCCCAATAAACATCACATTGCCTGCACTTCGGACTTCTGGTCTTCTGCTTTCTGTCTGCGTGACAAGAACCAGGGGAGGGGGTGAAGGGAAAGCCCTCTAACAGGACCAATTAATGCCCAACACGTTCATGTGCTTTAGAAATCACACCCCTGTCCTCTGCATTACTGCCCTGCGTATACAAAACCTCTGGTGACTTCCTTTTCTCTCTTCCTTTGCAGCATGTCCTACCCTGGACTTCTGTAGCGATATAAAGACAGTGGTTAGTACCAGGAGAGATTTGATCAACACAGCTCAGTTTAGCTGGGATTGCATTTCATTTTGGCTGTAAAACCATCTTGTAGCCACGGGAGAAGAGCGGAAAGGAGGAAACGTGGGCTGCACAGCCACAAAAGTATTTACCTGGCTGAAAACTAGAAGAAAGAGGTAGATTCAGTGACATGCCCAAGATTACACAAGAGTCAATGGCAATACTAGGAACTGACCCTAGGGCTTCTGAGTCCCCATTCAATGATTTAACCACTAGATGATCCTTCCCCTATGGCTTCAGACTCCATAAAAGCAGTGTATTAGAAGTGGATAGCAGGAAAAATAAAACCGATGACATTCCTTGCAATAATTAATCTCCATTGTAATCCTGTTGTTTAGCTTTAGGTCTTCTGCACCGGGCAGTGAGTTTACAGTGCATTTATTTCACTTTCCAGGGCTGTTTTCCCCCCAAGAGGAGGATCACAAGATTTACTGGTTTTCCATGAGTTCAGGATAGACTGGTGTATTTGTAATTGTTCTGCTTTCTGCCTTTCAGGTCGCAGCGACGCACTCAGACTGCATCATCAGAAAGGAGCAGGAGGCCTGCCTGGAGAAAATCAAGAGAGCAAGTGCCCTCAATCCACTGAATGAGTCCTCCCCAGGTGAGTTCCAGTCTGGGATGGATATGTATGTTGAACGAACGCCTTCCAGAGTTTCCCTCTTATTACATGTGTGATCTGCCATGTGACACACAGAATATTGATGCCAAAGGCTTACTAGAATATGATTTAGCAATTAAAGTTAAATTAGCTAGGATAAACATTATAAGAGCAATTAACTGTCATGCTTCAGGGCAAATGCTGATGACCCGCCAAGGTCAGGAATATGCTTCCTTCCATAGTACAGTATGACACAATGAGGTATATTTATGGGACTGATCCAGAGCCCATAGACTTTTCAATAGGCATTGACCGGGTCAGGCTCTATGGGGTTTTACACCTTCATTTGGAGCATCTGACATCAGCCACTGTTGGAAATTGTATATGAGAGCATCGGTGTGTTCTGGAATGGCAGTTCCTATGTTCCTGTCTTCATTTCAGTAATAATTTGCACCAGTGGAGCACCTGATCAAAGGACCTCAAAAGTGCTTTACAGACACTAATCATATGCTACTGTGATGAGTGCCAGATTGATAGATTGATAGACAGAATCCTCCCACTACCTCAGAGCCACAGACAGAAAAACTGAGGCCCAGAGAGCTGCAGAGCCCAGAGAGGTGCTGAGCACCGTCTCCTTCTCATTGACTTCAGTGGGAGCTGTGGATGCGCAGAACCTCTGAAAGTCAGGCCCTACATGACTCCTCTGAAGTTGCACAGCAAGTCACCAGCGAAGCATTACTGGAAGCCAGGCATCAATTCTAGGGCTCCGGCCAAACTCCCTGTGGTGGAATTTGGGCTGGAGGGGTGTAAAGGCAGCACAGAAGTGGCCAAACTGGGGGACATGGTGAAATCCTGACTGTGCCGCCTCTGCCTGGCCATGTTTTCCATCCTGGAAGCAAGCGGGAGGATGCAGGAGCCTTTATGTTGCCTCTGTGCCACCGGAGCGTGCCCTAAAGTGGGGGTGCTCCTCCCATGGTCCGTTCAGATGGCTTTGTGGGCAGAAATCTGCCAGGAGCACAATGCGAAGTGACCACGCCAGAAGCTTGCAAACTGGCTCACGCAGCAGCGGCCGGACCCTGCTGTCCAGCGCCTCGCGAATGAATCAAATGGTTTGATGGAACCAGGGAGAGCGCACAGGTCAGGCCTTTCCTTTTACCCACAGGCTTCTCTAGTTGTTTCTGAGTGCTGCCCCTTCGGTGGCAGATGAGCCTCTGAATCAGAAATGTGGGCAAGGGGCTCCCCTGCAGAGCAATAGCAGCAGCTGATTGTGACTCTTGTTACTTTTTATTAATGATGAGCCAATTGGCTGTTGTTTGGATTCAGGAATTCAGAGAGTTTAGGGGCCATTGGATCAGCTGGTCTCACCTTCTGACCAGCACAGGCCAGAGAATGTCACCCAATTGCCCCTGGTTCCGGGATCCTGACTCTCAGATCCTTGAACATACAGATCAGCGTATCAGGCCGTGCCCCCAGGCAGAGTTACAACTGAAGCCAATGCCACAAACTCTGCTTCTCCTGGACCTCTGCGTCTGGCGAATCCATTCCTGACATGGGAGGGAAGCGACCCCTGCCTGCATGGCCTCTCTCTCTGCCCTACAAGCACTGCCTTGGCAACGGGGCCCAGCTCCCCCCTTTCTCCTTCCCTAAGCATCTTTCACGGAAATCACCACAGGTGAGATTCCCCCAGCTCTTCCTCAGCAGCGCTGGGGAGAATGAGGTCCCTTGTAGTCCCCTGATTGGCCTTGCTCAGTTTGTGACTCCAATTAGGGGGCACGGGACGAGCTGGAGCGACTCACCCAAACTCCCTGAGTGCCAGTGGGAGGAGGAAGGCAGTGAGTGGGAGTGGCCACTGGCACCCAGTGTGGAGTAAGCTCCTCCATGAACTAGGGGTGTGTGTGTAACTTACTTTGCCACCTTCTGTCTGCCCCACTTGGGAGCCAGGGGAGGAATTGTGACTCTAGGGGTCACAATTATGCTAGGCTGGCTCAAGCTGGTGCTCTACCAATCGCAATGTAGCCACCTGAGTCCGTACCTGCCTGGACCCCCTGAGTCCCTGGGTGACTAGCCTGAGCCACCACCCCATGGCCCCGGCTACACTGCTATTTTTAGTGTGCTCGCTCAAGGAGAGCTACCATGGGTACGTCTACACAAGCTTGGCCTCACGCCCTCAGTTCCGCATGTAGGCCTGACCTTTGGGTACCGCTCCACTGCAAATGACACCGGGATTGCCTCATGCTCGGCATACCTGCGCTCGCTTCAGTCGAGCTGGTGCAGGTAACAATAGCACCGAAGACGTGGTGGCATGGACCCTGGTGGTGGCTAGCAACCTGAGTACATACCCGAATCCCCAGCGGGCTTGTTCTTGGGTAGTTAGCCCACCACGGTTACCTGTGCCAACTCGATTAATGCTGGGGGGGCGGTGTTTGCCTACCCTCCCTGCAGACACACCTTCCTTTGCAGTGTCAATGGGCTTATTCCCTGCTCTGCTGCCTGCTAGCCCATACTCGGGGCAGATTATAAAGCCATAATCTAGACCTATCTGATTCATCCAGCCTTGTGTGGTACATATTTCAGACCAGACATTGCCACCTTATTCCACAACGATTCCTACTGCAATCAATAGGGCCATGCATGGGGTAAAGCAATATTCAGCATCACCGAACCTGGCCTTTCGTTCACAGTTATCAAGAGCCTCATTTAAAAGACTGGCCCATTTCAGTTCTCGCTGCTCTGAAACTCCCTGCTTTGGGATACCTGCCTGCAGGTGAAGGTGGCTGGGGGCATTTGCAATGCGTTTTTGTCTTTGATTGGTTCCTTTCCCTTCCACCCACCTCAGCCAACCTGTTCTTCAGCTGGGAGAATGTGCTGCACTCTCATTAGAGGGCTAAAAAAATAAGGCTTATTAAAAGTGACAGCTGCTGGAGAAATGGACTGTTAGCTTGTTTCCTTTAGAAAACCGAGCAGCATAGAAAACACCTATGTGCTTGTTGGAGGCAGATGGGAGAAGGAAGAAATGCATTCTGACTGGTAAATAAACAGAGAGGGAGGTGAGGGGTAGAAACCTAGGTATAGCCTTTGACTTCCCATCCAAACAAAGCCATGGAACAAAACCTATTTCACGAGTAATCTCTATCGAAGGAAATCTCTCTTCCGGAGGTCCTTGGGGCAGGGACTGAGTTAGTGGGCACAGAGGCAGTTTATTTCATTACTCCTTTATAAATATAATGGAGATATCCCATCTCCTAGAACTGGAAGGGACCTTGAAAGGTCATTGAGTCCAGCCCCCTGCCTTCACTAGCAGGACCAAGTACTGATTTTGCCCCAGATCCCCAAATGGCCCCCTCAAGGATTGAACCTACAACCCTGGGTTTAGCAGGCCAATGCTCAAACCACTGAGCTATCCCTCCCCCCGCCCCTTTGTTCTGTGTTTATACAGCACCCGGCGCAGTGGGGTTCTGGTCCATGACTGGGGCTGCTGTGATGCAAATAAATAATGGGAAGTTCTACGGACCTGTTCCTTCCAACCCATCCTCATGCTTTAAATCCTTCCCCCAAATAAATTAATCCTATAGAAGTCAATGGGGGCTCTTTCTGCATGCTCCAGACTGCTCATATTAGCTCAGTCCTCCCTCACTTTGCCGCCCGCTGTGTTAGGCTCCAGCTTCCAGATTTGCAGAGGAGTTGGCTCCCCAGCCAGTCCTTAGGGCTCCCGCAGCGAGCTGCAATATGTGCACAATGCTCACGCTGCAGCTGTAGCCACGGAGCCTTCAGATTAATGCTAACAATATTCTCCCAAGCAGCCAGCCTGCGGACGCGTTCGTGCCTTGGCACAGCAGATTTTCCCCCTCCTCGCGGTTGTGTTTGCTGTCTTTTTGTTCTCTGTCGGGTTGTGTTTTTCTTCCCTCCACTGCTTTGTGGTGTCTGTAAGTGCTTGGGAAACAATGGCGCTTTCATGTTTATTTTACAGCCCCTCCATGATCGCTGCTTCCTCTGAAGGGTTTTCAGTCTTTCAGGGGCTTTCATAAGAAAGAAAATAAGGGTAAAATACTGACCCCGCCCCCTCATCCCTGCAATCCTGGCCTCCCACGTGCAACGCCTGAATAAAAGGAGATGCATACACAGATTTTGAGCAAGGGCCAGAATCCTCCTTTCGTGAGCCGTGGAGGGAGAGAAAATGTTACAGGGGAAAACAATGCAGGAGAATGAAGGGGAGGAGACAGGAGAGAAGGAAGGGCAGCCATGCACAGCAATGAGACCAGATGCTCTCCTACATCGATATCTCTCTGATTTTCTGCCATGTTCCAGCCTCAGTCCTAAAGTAGATTAGAGCAGCTTCTAGGCTGCTCTAACCTATGATAGCTGGCAACAGTCTACAGTCCACTGACCCCACCCCATCATCCCTGGAGGACACTAGGTGAGACTTGGCAATGCACATCTGCACTCTGGCCAAACCCTCCCCTGCTCCCAGCATTCTCTGTCCCATCCCCATCACCTGGGAGTTAGTGGGGGTGGCGTAGGAGTTGCCTAGATTGTCTGTACAGCTGCCAGAGTTGGAACAAATGGGCTTGAGCACATGACAGAGTCTGGCCCATGAGTCCGGCTGCAAGACATTTTAAAATCTAAGGGCCAAATCCTGCATCCTTTACTCACATAACTACAATGGAAACACTCATGTGAGTACTGGTTCCAGTACAGATCCCTTAGGAGGTGATTTCAATAGGGGTTGAGGATGCTCAGCACTTTACTGGTTTGGTTCCCTTGGTTTAGTAATTACAGTTTCTGAAATACAGTTCTTTGGCCTACCATGTCCATAATGCAGGTCTGTTCTGGGCCCACAGTGCACTGGATTCCATCTTTGTAGGGGAATGCCCAGTCTCCCCAGACCTGCCATTCCAGGCAGGGGTCTACACTCTGCCTGTAGTACAATAATCCTGATCTGATGGTGTCAAAACACCATTCACCGTCTTAAACAAAGACGGTGAATGGCTATCCAGCTACAGAAG